GACCTGTTTGCACAGTAAAAGAGCAATCTTGTATTTGGGGTCTAGAGAGGGCACTCGTACAACGGAGCTCAAAGCACAGAACTTTTGTGCAATAGTTTGAAAATCTTGAGCCATCTGACTCCTCGGCCATTTTACAGGATCAAATACAAACTCGCTGCCCAAGAAATCACCTTTTCATCACAACAAAACCCAAAAATAGTATCTTTAATTGATATGATAATCTATGTAAGTCTAGTGACCAGTTGTGTTACCGTGGTGGGGCTTTTAGCTAGCGGCTGAGTGGAAAATTTTGAGCAGCYAAATGGAAAACTACAAACWTGGGAAGGTATCTTACATTATGAACCTAGTGTGGACAGCTATTACCTGGCAGGTCTTCAACATCGGTGGCACAGGACTGATCTTCAAGCTTTCTGCTCTGTTTTCAAATGCAATAAGCGTTTTGGGATTGCCCGTGGTTCCCATCCTGGCTGTTATCATATTCCATGACAAAATGAATGGGTTAAGGATCATTTCTATGATCTTAGCTATTTGGGGTTTCACATCCTATGTCTACCAACACTATCTTGATGACAAACATTTGAAGAAAAGTCATCGAATCTCAACAACGGAATCATCCGAGCCACCAAAAGCAGAAGGGTCAAGTGATGCACCAAGAGTAATACCTTGAGATTTACCAAGCAGAAATAACATCCAGTCTACATGAGCGATTCTTACTCTAACTAGCCAATCCTCTTCTTCTTTAACTCTTTGACCAGAGCCACAAGAACCAGAAACATTCCTTTTCACTTTGTTTCTGAGAAACTGATTTCCTCATCAGCTTTCTGCAAAAGTCCATCTCCTTGGTCCCTTTCCTATCCTAGAAACAAGACCTTTGTTTCTCTCCTGGAACTTTTCTATTACCAGCATAAACTGTGATTGAGAAACAGAAGACACAACAAACCAGAAAATCACCAAGTAATTCAACCTTACACTGGTGAGACTCTCAAATCCTTTGAGAGTATAATCCTTATCCTTGAGACTAACCTTTCACCCAACAACTCTTCAAATCTGTCCATACAGATTTGAGCCTTGAGAGTTGACGATTTGATTCTGATTTTTTCATAACTTTGAGTCAAATACATTAACTCATACCTTCATGAACCTGAATCGAACTGATATTGCAGAGAACCTCCACCATAAACCAACTCACAGTAGATTAACCTGCACATATCAAGAACATCATCTCTAACTATGTGAATTCTGCATTTGTCTCAGGATATCCTTTCACTTGTGCTTGCAACATCTTTACCTGCAAGTTCTTAAACCCAACTTGCATCGTTGCACAATCGTGACCCATTTGGAGGATTACAATGAGTAGGCTTTCTGATTTCATAGACCTGAAATCACCTCACCCAATTCAATCATTACCGATTGTGGTGACTCTGATCATTAATCATCACCATCTTCTTCTTCCTCCTGCTCGAGATTTCAACACTCTTAAATCACGATGTTTCTATCACCAAGAAACCTTCAAGTCTTCTTCTCTAGAGGTTCTTATATTCTTTTTCCTGAATCAGACACCATCTTTCACGGAGAATTTCTTTACGTTGGGCCCATTCAATTTCCTCTTCGTTTTATTTCTTCAATCGTGATAATCTCTTTCTGTTGAAAAGAATTTTCTGATTGCGTATCAGAAGAAATTCAGATGACTGAGTTCTGCATCTTCCGACAGCGAACTTCTTTTCGATAGCGACAAGCAGCGAACCCGATACGCTTCCGACCACAATCTCTGCCTTTTTCCAGTGATCTACTTTGTCGCCATCTTTCTCTGTGAGCTTCCGACACCGAAGAACCCATCACTGATTCTTCTTCCTTGAATTTCAGCTTGCAAAATCACAAATTTTACAAAGTCTTTGGAGTCTTCTTTTCTACAACTCGTGATGGACCTGATTCTACTTCCAAAAAATCACACATCGCCTTTACCGGCGAGTCATCACCTTCCAGCTCCGACAACATCACCTTGTATCGCAGATTTTCCTTTTTGCAATTTGGGCATAAATTCATCTTTGGCCCAACTTACTTTCTCCAAAACAACTCTTATCAATTTTGAGCAGGCCCATCTTGGCCCATAAAGAGATTTGATGACTAATGTCCAAAGTCATCTTCACGTTTCTTCCTTGAAGAAGAAGAAAGAAACAAACCAGCAACCCTTTTTCCCTCCTTGTCATATGAGACCCCATCTATAACCTTTGGTGCTCGCGACTAACTCCCAGAGCTCCATCGAATCTTAATCGTGTCGATTTCACGAGCCCATCAGAAACACTGGTATTGCCTTTACCGGCAAACTCCACCACGATGAATCAATCTTCCCTCTACGTCGTAGACATCATCTAAGACCAGTCACTAATAATTCTTTTGATTTTTCTCTTCTCTTCTCTTCATAGTCGGTCTCCTTTTCTATCTCACTAACATACGTGTTGGGCCTGGACCTGCGGCCCAACATTCTGAACAGTTCGCGAGAAGCCCGACGGGCTGCCAGATCCCCAGAAGCCCGACGGGCTGCCAGAAGCCCATTCCGAAGCTTTAACCACGGTCTGACCACACCTAGGAGATAACCACGGTCAGCTGAACTCGAGTTAAACTCAACGCCGTTCACTATAAATAGACGACACGGGACAGTACAGGAGGACATTCACTRTTCCCTCAAGAAATATCAACACCATTACTCGCCAGTCCGCTAGACTGTAATCTTTTATAATCAACATCTAGTAGTTCGATCTCCGACCTAGAGAACTGATAGCCCGGGGTCTGTCCGGACTACTTATAGCGACCTATTTTCATTCACCTTTCTTTGACTCAACTTTCTATACACGAATTTCTCCGACCTCTGATCTATTATAAATTCATTGTCGATCTGTTGGATCAACAATTGGCGCGCCAGGTAGGGGGACCAGGAGATTTTCTAACGCAAAGAAATATGAGCCCGAACGTTTCCGCAAGTCAACAACCCGGAGAAACATCAAATCAAGGAACCTTAGAGGCAACCCACGAAGCTCCGTTCATTACGATGGAGTCCGGCCCAATCGTCACTCCGACCGCCACAAACGAAGAGACGAACGCCACAGCTCGTGGCCCCGAAGCAACGACAAATGCGGGAGAACAGATCGATCTTGTTCGTGTTCTGGGAACCCTCATGAGACGCTTTGACCAACAAGACGACATGGTCCGTCAAACAAACGCCCGTCTAGATTCCCTTGCAACGGCTCAGAACGTCATACAAGAGCAGCTCGACTCCTCCCGGCCTGCAAACTTGCAACATCCCAGGGCAAACTCGTCTCCGTCTCATGCTGAAGGACATGGACGACCAGCCATCCGACATCGGATTGTCGACTGCAGTACCCCGTCGCAAACTCCGATCAGCGTGCAGCTCGAACGTGCAACCCACTCGAGAGAACACTCTCCAGCCCAAG